ATTTATTTTTATTCATGTAAATACTTATCTTTAAAGCATTCAGTTATCATTTCTTTTAAGTTAACTCCCATTGTTCCCTATATATAATTATTGCTTTGTTTTTAATATTTTATAGTGGATTTTCAAATAAATAATTATATTTTTAAAAATTCAGATGGTTGCAAATGGAAACAAAAAAATGTGAATGAATAGTAATAATAATACATTTTATTTGTATAGCGCTTTTTCTAAATACTCAACGACGCTTTACGTGAGTTAAAAGAAATATAAAGTCATCAATGCATCACAACACATAAAAACACAATGAAACATTTAAAAAAGGGCAAATTTAAACAATAAAAACAATTTTAAACAGGTGGGTTTTGAGTTATTTCTTAAAAGTGACGAGATCAGAGCAGGCACAAAGCTGTTGGGGCACTGGGCTCCAGAGGGTGGGGGCAGTGATGGAGCCATGAAGGGGCCATTATTAATTTGGAAAAAGTTAAATGAATGCAGATGAAAGAAAATTGTTGGGGAATTTTGTTGGATGTTTTTAACTATTATGGCTGAGAACGCTAACTCTGCCCATGAACCATATGTTTGGGGTTAGTTGGATGAGGAGCTGGGTGAGGCTGCAACGTGCTGTCGCTTCAAGGACATCTCTGAGTCCGTGAGCTCGGCTGAACTGATAAGAGCACAAAAACAAGCTTCACACATGGCTCGTGACAGATTCTCATGACTGGTCTTCATGCGTGCACTTCCTGTATATCTGTGTGACCTGTCCTGAAAATCTGACCTTTTCAAGTAAGTTGAAAATCTTCTGCTGTCGAGTGTCGTTCCTTTTTTGTAAGTGAGATAAACCGAGAATATTTTTCTCCAACAAAAAGCAGAAATATTCATTTTTGCCATAATTAAATATTTAATTGTATTTTGTAGTACAGTAGTCCCTCGCTACTTCACGGTTCGTTTAGCACGGATTCGCTCATCACGGTTTTTTCCAAATAAGATTGGACATGACACACAACTGGCTGATCGATGGATGAGCTGCACGACCGGCATGAGATTTTTGTTTAAAATGAATTATTTTAAATTATTTAGCACCTGCTGCACCTTTGTGCAGCCCATACTGCAGGAGAAACGTCCTCCTGCAGCTCCTCCTCCATCCTCCTTCCTCCTCTGTGATCTCCGTTCTGCTGTGGAGAAGTGGGCGTGGCCGAGAACGCAGAGTGCAGTTGCACATATGAGGCAGGGAGCTGAAATCATGACATTATGTGCTCTTTTAGAGCATTTAGAATTTAGAAATATTATTTAGAATATTGTAAGAGTGTGGGAAGGGATTAACTTCATTCATTCAACCTTTATTGATACAGACTAGTCTCATTGAGCCACGAGGACTCATTTAAAAGAGGTACCTGTTACAGACAGAACATATAAAGTACAGCCAACAAAACAATAGACAATATCAACAACTACAGTAAAAAAAAGTAGTAAAAATAAAAGTAGTGTACAAAACAATAAACCAGGGTGCCGTAAAACAGGGTGAAATATTCAAAACAAAAAATATTTGCTTTGATTTTTCTATTGACATTATCAAATGTTTAAAATCCCTTAAAGAAATCAAGGTGGTCAACTTCATTTCCTGTTGCAAGGTGTTCTAGGTTGCAGGAGCAGAGTAGGAAAAAGCCTTTTTGCCAAGTTCAGCCCACACTGAGGGAACGCTGCAGGTAATGATGTCCTGAGAGTGCATGTTGTAACTGCACTGACGCTGTGACATGTGGGAGAAGACATAAGAAGGTAGCAGACCAAATAGGGATTTATAGATGAAAATTAACCAGTGTGAGAGCCTACGTGTAGATAATGATGACCAACTGACCAAGGAGTACAGGGTACAGTGACGGGTACGGTAGTTACAACCAGTTGTGAATCTTAGCGCCCCATGGTAGACAGCAGCCAACATCTGCAAGGAGCTGTTAGGAGCATTCATGTAAATAATGTCACCATATCCTGATGCATGCTCAATAATCCAGGTAGAAAATTCTACAAAAGTCAAGTCCGGTCCTCTGGACGTTCAAAAAAAACAAACCCCCCAAAAATTGTAGAAATGTTTTGTTTTCATGTGAAAGTCTTCTTCAGTCTGAGGTGCTGTACTCAACTGAATCTTATAAATAGCACCTTCTCATAGTGGATCAACCAGTTTGCTGCTGACCAATGTCACCATAGTCAATGGCCAGTAGGAAGGTAGCGGTTACAAGGTGTTTTCTGGCATTCAGAGTTAAGCGAGATTTATTGCTGTAAAAGAAACCCAGTTTTAATTTCGTTTTTTTAAATCAAGTTTTCAATATGTGATTTAAAAGAGAGATGTGCATCGACCAAAATCTCCAAGTATTTGTAAGAATCTACAAACTCAATAGGAACACCATGCATGGATGAGATGGAAGAGTTGCTGGCATCGACTTTATGTTGGAAAACAACATCCCTTTGATTTGATCAGCATTTAGCACCAGTTTGAGATGGAACAAGTCTGACTGAATGATGTCAAATGCAGACTGTAGAAGCTGGAAAACCTTGGCAACTGTGTTAGCTCGGCAATAAACAACAAGTGCCGTTGGCATAGATGTGCAATGATGCGTCAGGATTGTTTAGACCAACATTATTTATATAAATTGTAAAAAAAAAAAAAGTGGGACCTAAAACTGAGCCTTGTGGCACACCATTATTGACAGTTAGGTAGCTAGATGAAGTACCGTTATGTCAAACACATTGCCTCCGACCTGCTAGTTTGAGAACCAACCAACAGTGTGATCTGAGAAGCCAGCATATGAGAGCTTGTGACATAAGATGTCATGATCTACAGTATCAAAGGCTTTGGACGGGTTGAAGTAAAGTGCAGCACAGTAATCTTTAGCACCCAAAACTTCAACAACATCATTATAAATCTTTAGTGATGCAGTCATTGTGCTATGTTGTTTTCTGAAGCCAAATTGGAGAGAAGATAAAATAGATTTATAGATTAAAATGCCTTAATTTACATACATATATGTAAATACTAAAATATACTTCTTACTACTTCTAGTACTATTTCTACTTTGTGGTTTTTCACTTATCGCGGAGCTTCAGGGTACGGATCCCCCGCAATAAACAAGGGACCACTGTACATTTATGGTTGGGGAATTTGGCAAAGAAATTTAATTGTTGTGCTACTCATGGAATTGCTTTTTTATTTTGGCAGTGGCACGGTGGCTCAGTTGGTAGAGCTGTTGCCTCTTAACGAGAAGGTTGGCAGTTCAAATCCAAGGCTGGGACCTTTCTGGGTGGAGTTTGCATGTTCTCTCCGTGTATGTGTGGGTTTTATCCGGGTACTCCGGTTTCCTCCCACAGACCAAAAACATGCATTTTAGGCTGATGAGAGAGTGAATGGTTGTTTGTCTCTATGTGTCTCTGTGATGGACTGGAGACATGTCCAGGGTGTCCCCCGCCTCTCGCACAGTGACTGCTGGATATGAGCACCAGTGACCCCTGCAACCTGAAAAGGAAGAAGCTGTTAAAAATAATGGATGGCAGTATGGCAGTTTCAGTGCTCTGCACTGCTGTTGTCCATAAACTAGGGAAACCCGTTTGTTATAGTTTAGTGTTTTAGCATCATTGTCACATCATAAACTACATCTGTACTTAGTACACAATATAGAAGCATGCTGTCATGCTAAAAAAACAAATATACATTAACAAATTTAACCACTTCATTTAAATGTTGGCATGTGATTGTTTGCATTTAGAATAACAGTTCTTAAAACAATTTCAAACAACGGTTGGTGCAACTTTATTTTTACTCATAGTGAGCACAACGAGTGTCAGTAATGTTGAAGCTCACAGAGTATTATTAAAAGTTAGACCAGCAGGTCCGTCGCTCACAGAAGAGTTCAGTCAGTCTGCTGGCTGGAAAACTAAACTGTGAGAGGGGAAGCACCGTTAGCAGACAACCCCTTCAGCCTGTTTTCCATCAACCAGGCAGAGGTGTCGGCAGAGGACTGCGTTGTCATGACGACGAGGCTGTAAACAGCATCTCCTACACTGCTGGCCAACAGAGAGGAAATCACCATGGCGACAGTAAACATCCATGAGTTCTGATGTTGTATTTATGTGAAGCTGTTTGACTCGTGGAGTCAAAGTTGATTACAGATTAAATCAGGATCAACTAAACAAAACACATCAGACAATTATTTTAATAAATAATAAAATGTTGCATGGTTAAAAAAAATATCCTATAAACTTAAAAAAAAAAAAAAAAAAAAAAAAAACAGTGCATGCAAGGTTTCTAAACTTTTCTCTTTGTTTGGAATCCGCAAGGGACAAAGTTTTAATTTGTCCTAATGAGCTCAGTCAGTGTTGGTGTTTGAATAAAAAACAAACAAACAAACAAACAAACAAACAGAAAAACAGCTACTGGTCATATCAGAAATGCCCTCAAACAAAAAATAAATTTTAAAATCTGCAAAAAAAACAACTATTTAGATCGTTGTTGAGTAAAATAAATAGTTTTGAAAGACCAAATTAGAGCTGCTTATATAAAAATACTGACATTAAATACATATTTATTACATAAATATGTATACATACAGATTTAAGTTTTGTTAAATCAAAACAAACAAAAACAAATATCAGGACAAAAGTAGACAACAAAAACCACACACTCAATGATGGAAAATCCCCATCAATCCATAGACACACACATATGTACAGCTTAAAAATCAAACAGTGACAATTTTTACATTCAGTTTAAACCTTTATGTTTAGCTCATAAGGAAAAGTAAGAAAAAGTTTGTCACCAAAAGGAATTAAAGAGAACTGAGCTGGTCATACTGGTCACAGTGTGGAGATCATTGTCTCTTTTCTCTGTTCGCTGCCGATGGATTTGTCTGACGTTGATATTTGTCTTATCGTGAGAAACACGGCAGACATTATTGTCCACAATATCACAACGAGACGAACCGTAAACAAATCAAACTGCTGATGGAGGTGTGTCTTCAAAGCACAGCTAGGTCGTGGCAGCTCTTGGAGCGCACTTTGACCGCCATGCGCTGGTTGTTGCGTGCCACCAGTCGGTCCAGGAAGCGCCGAGCCTTCTTGGTCAGACTCTCTTTGCGTTTGTAGATGGAGCTCCTGTGCTTTGTGACCTCGCTGCCGTCCCGACGGAGCCGGATCTGCCGCACCACGCCCTCGAACAGCTCGGCCACGTTGTGCTGCAGAGACGCAGACGTCTCGATGAATTTGCAGTCAAACACCACGGCACACGCTCGGCCCTCTGGGAAAAACAAAACAAAACATGACGCACAACACGCGATCCTTCAACCATCAGCATTTTGTTTTACATGCGTGTACGACTGCCCCTCTGTGACCTTTGACCCCACCTTCCACGGCGACTTCTCTGGCACGGACCAAGTCGCTCTTGTTTCCCACAAGGATGATGGGAAGGTTTTCAGCCTGGCGAGTGCGCCTCAGCGTGATGCGGAGCTCAGCAGCAGAGTCGAAGCTCGAGCGGTCGGTGACAGAGTAGACGATGACGTACGCGCTCCCCACTTTCAGACAGTCTTCAAGAGAAGAGGGGTCATCCTCCACCTAACACAAAACCGCAGAGACGAACAGCTTAGATTTTTAAAAATCAGACTGTAACAATCAATTTTCAAATCTGAACTTCAGATGTCTTTATTTGGGAAACCATTAACACTAGGGGTATAATGGTACATGTCATGTCAGGGACAAGCGCACGTAATAAATTACATTAGTCAATCTCATCTTGAGGAGGGCTCATGGGAGAATTGTTCTAGAATTGCACCGCTCAGGTTGGCTGCATGTTACTTTGTACTTTCAATCTGAGTTATTGCTTTTGAAAACTTTAATTCTTCTTGTTTCTGGATGTAAATCGCTTTTTTCGGATGATTATTTCCTCGGGTATCGGATGCTGTGCAGCTGGAAGGATTTTTACTGAAAGCTTTAAACTTGTGAGCATTTGTTATGATGCGTAACCATGGCAACAAGGTGATTTGTTTTGTTAACAACCATGAGCAGCTAATTAACATCTCAAAAGCTAAAATACATCAGCTACAGCCCAAATCCCAAATGAGATGAAAAGGAGGCGCCATGGATGAATTCCCGTCAACCTGGCAGCGGTGCTCGAGTACATGACCGCCAAGATCATGGAACTGGTGGGAAACTCGGCTCATGACAACAGGAGGACTGGGATCACACCCCGGCACCTTCAGCTGTTTGTCCGTGGCGACGAGAGGCCCGCCAGATCTGACAGCAAGCTGGATTGATATCTGTGGCCGGATTCTTCGAATTCGCTGCAGGAGATACTTCCTGCCCACAGCTATCAGCATCTACAACAACTCTTGAATGAAACTAGGATGATGAGCTACAACACTTAATTTCCCTCTGGGATTAATAAAGCATTATTGAATTGAATTGAATGTTTTTTTTTACTTCTTTTTTGATAACTCCCAAGGCAAAAAGTGTTGAGAAAGACACTATCTAAAGCACCCAACATCAAAGCAAAGCAAGAATGACAAGCTGAGATACACAGGAGCTTGAAAACCTGCTAGTTGTGTGGAAAATCTTTGCAGTCTGGGTGATGTGAGCAGAAGCAGGAACAAGAGAACTGGAAGTGTGGAAGGACAAACGAACCATAATCTGTGCACTTTAAATGCTCTCTGGAGTTAAAAACTCGGGGAAATTTGTCAGCAAGTGTTTAACGATAAGCACTGCCCGTGTATGAATAACAGACTAGCACTCAGCAAGTTTTTATTTAATTATTTTGCTCACATTGAGAAATTCTATTTAGTTTTCTAATACCTCGGACTTTGCATCAAGTCTGATCTGAAACACCATTTTATTTGTCTCAACCAAAGAACGTGTACCATTACCCCCCCAAGAGAACAATAAAATTCATTCTTATGTACACCTTAACATGATACAAACAGGCATTAAATCAGATTTGACATCTTATGAATCATAAACTGCACATTAAATGCAAAGCATTGTACCATTTTGTCGTTTTCCCATGTGTCCATGACAATCAGCGTTGTTTCCTCTCCGTCCACTGTCAGCGTCCGCTCATACGTGTCCTCTGTAATAAATAAAGACACAAATCAGAAACTAGAAAGAATCTCTGCAGACATGTCGACCTGTCTGTGAGGCTGTGGGTCAGGCATGATGGATTCATGTTGGACCTTTAACAATTTGTTCTTTGAGGGTTTTGTCCACATTTATATTGTTGTTTGTCTCATCAGTGCTGAGCTTTGTTCTAAACCTTTCTAAATCCAAACAATGTGAATTTCAAAATTTAAATTGTAGATAATGCTAAGAAATCTGGAAACTAAAAATGTCAGTCACTCTGTCCCAGGAGGATATTTCAGCAAAGCATTCCCAAAATAAAAATGTTTTTTTTGACAACGTAAATTTATTGCATGTTATTAATGTAATGTTTATGACATCATAGTTCACCCTTTTAAAGAGAATTACACATGCATTCACAAAACAAACATAACGCACACAAATTTATTTACAACTTTTTAAGTTCCAATAACATATGTTTCATGATCATTCACTGTGCTCAGGAACAGGGCTGTAGTTTAAGTTCCTGAACTGTACTAAAATATAAATCAATAAGTTTTTACATCTATATTTTATTAAAGCAGCCAGACTTTTGCTGATCATATGATACTTTTAAATCTCTAACAATATGCCACTAGACATGCCACACATTAATGAACTATTATCTTTGTTTAACAATGGCAAAAAAATAAAATAAAATAAAATTCTGACTTTTTTTTAATAACTTTCCACAGATAATGTAGTTCAGTGATCGTTTAATGTCAGAAACATTCCTTTACTTTTAACATGAATGTAAAAACTGGTCTTGTGCCATTTGTGTAGTTTTCTGTGATTTTGTTGTTCTTGTAGTTCAGCTCATGCCCCGCCCACTTTCACCTGTTCCTCGTTGTCTCTCCCCAGGTGTAGTCAGTTCTCCCTCGTTTCCCTTCAAAGCCCATCTCATTTTTCTCATTTGTTTCCATTGTGCTCCCAAACCATTCATGATAATTTCCGTCGAGTCGTCTAGTGTTTTTGTTTGTAAGTAAGCTGCTCCGCCAGCCTTTTGTTTTCTTGTTCATTAAATGACTTTATGTATTTTTATCTCTGAGTGTTTTGAGTTTCTGTCTCCACTTGGGTTCCACTCTTATTAAACATGACAGAAACTGTTAAAATAATAATTAACTTAACTTTTTCAGATCTTTAGACATTTAAAGTGGATCATAGAGCACTAAAATGCCAACAATTTTGTATAGACGACAAAACTACTAAACCCATAAAACACGTCATATTGGATGAAAACCAATATCGAATAGAATATAATCTTTGTTGTCATTGCACATCCAGTCTATGATGAGAATGCAGTGCTTCTCCCACCGATGCATATAAATAAAAAATAAAACAATCAATGGAACACACTGGTGAAGATTCTCAGTCCAGGACTTGGTAAATCCAAAAAAGTTCAAGACAAAAACAACTGGACTTTATTTGTAACAGAAGATGTTTCATTTCTCATTTGAGAAGCTTTCTCAATTCAAAGAACAGTGAGTGTGGGGTTTGAGCTATAAAGCTGAGTTAAGATACATATGTACATACATTTGCAGATTGACCTATCACACCTCACAGTAGGGGTTTGTTAAGAAACCCCTACTGCGATAAGAAACTACTACTTTCTCATCTGAGAAGCTTTTCCAATTCAAAGAACAGAGAGTGTGGGGTTCAAGTTACAAAGCTGAAGTAAGATACATACATACATACATTTGCAGATTGACCTATCACACCTCACAGTAGGGGTTTGTTAAGAAACCCCTACTGCGATAAGAAACTACTACTTTCTCATCTGAGAAAGCTTCACGGATGAGAAGCGAAACGTCTTCTGTTACAAATAAAGTCCAGTTGTTTTGGTCTTGAACTTTTTTGCATCAGTAGAAGTGTACAATAATAAAACGGGAATAGATGAATATAGCAGAGAATAGTAAAAGGACTTTAAAAGGAATACACATATTTACTTTGTTTACCCTTAGCATACACACTTTATGAGTTCAAGGCCCCGATGACCCAGGGAAAGAAACTGTTTTTGAGTCTTTGTCCTGTTTTTCAGGCACCTGTTCCTCCTGCCAGAGGGCCTGAGGGTGAACAGGTGTTGTCCCAGGTGTGAGGGGTTGGCCATGACTGCCCTCACTCTCCAGAGACATGGCATGCTGGCAATGCCTTCTATCGATGGCCAGGGGTTCGTGATCACGTGACATGAGCTTATCAATCAATTCAGGCTAGGCCAGGTTGCCGTGTCACAGCAAAGTCAGTGGTGATCTGTGCTTTGAATATCAGTATTTTGAGTATTTGTGAGAAATAGTTCATAAAGTATTTCAATAATACTTGACTACAGAGATATTTTTTACGTACAGTATATGCAAAATGTTCTTCACTAAAAATGCTTGATGCAGCACATCACGCAGCATTAAGACTTATAACTGATTCTAAATGGTTGCAGCTTTTGTGATGTTGGTTGGACTTCTTTGCACAAAGGTTGGAAAATGGGTACATTTTTTTAAGAGGCCACATTACATGATTTGCCACCTTGTTTATGTTCTCTTTTGAGTCCTAAACCCACCAGAATACATCATATTTAGTCAGAAGGACAAATTATGTGTGCCGTTCCTCAAACAACTGCTTCTGATCAAACTGCCTTTAAATTATTCACACCCTTGTCCTGACGCAAGTTTTGGAAACATCTCAAACTGGACCACCTGCCAAAGATGGATCATTTTAAAAGTAGCATTAAAGATCATTTTGAGTACTAAATGTACAACTTGTTAATAAAAGCTGCTGGGGATTGTACTGCTCTGATGAGAACTGATAAATGTTTTGAACTGGTCTGTTTTATTTAGTTGTGTTTTTTTTACGTAGAACCGGTATGCTTCTCTCTTGGCTGGGACTCCCTGGCAAAAATGTTTTAAAACTCAGTGGGATTAAGGCTGGGGAAATAAAGGTTAAGAAAAAAGGAAAAAAAAAATAGTCTCTTCTGATCCAATCTATGGTTTTCTGTACATCAAAATGAATAAATGCTGTAAAAATCCACAAACAAGTATCATACAAAAAGTGTAATATAAATCTTTGAGCAATGGAGGAAGATTAGAAAGAAAAATCTAAACATACGGAATCTGAATAAATTTCTTTAAATCTCCAAATGTAAACCGGATGTCATGACCAATACCTTCAACTAGAAAACAAAGAAGTGGAATGGGCCCTAAAGGCACCTAATCCCAACATCAGTCTGTGACTGTAGAAGGAGCCAGAAGATGCTGAGGCAGCTACATGCTCAAAGGAAAAGTAGCAAACTATTCAACACGGTCATTGTTTCCACTGTGTATACTTGTCATTTCCTGTCAGAGCTTTAAATCTGAATAATCCTGGGAACGTTGGATCCTGTCAAGACTGATGAAAACCAGAGCTTAGTGGAACATCCACGGACTGCAATAAATTGAAGATCTTGTATAAAGTAGAAGCAGTTAAGAAAAAAGTTTGTGAAAACATCAAACCGTCATGACCGGTACCCGCAGAGGACAACTCACCTCCAGGTTGTTCGTCTTTCTCTGTGATTCCAGCAAAGATTCCTGCGAGGCTGGTCTTTCCAACACCATGGTCGCCTAGCAACACCACCCTGTAAACACAGTCCGATTCGCTCTGCGAGTCGTCGTCGGAGTCTGAGCTCCACTGGGCGCGGTAGTGGAAGGACTTGTCTCCAGGATGGTAGGATGCTGACTGTCCCAAGGGAGGGTGGCTGCGCGTAGGTCCAAAACTCTCCGAGCTGGGCTGGTTGCTCACAGAGTATCGAAGGTCCCGAGGACCAGATAGCTGCTTGAAGAGTGGGGCAATTGGCGTGCTGCCTCTCCGCCGCAGGAGCTCCTTCTCTCTCTGAGCGTTGAGGGTCATATTGCTATGGTGACATCATCAGGACAGGATTGACCTGAAGGGGAAACATGAAATTACAAATATTCTGGTTCAGAATATTTAATACCAGTCCACAAATCAATCAGCGTTCATTGCAGTAATGTAGAAGGTTAATCCCTTGCCTGTTCCAAAACATTGGTCTAACCGTTTGACCCTCGGGACAAATGTCAGACTTAAAACTGTGCTGTTTTAAGTGATTGCCATGATTTAGTTGCTGGTAAGCACAATGTTTAAAACTTGGTGCTTCTTTCTCACTCCTGAAAAACACCTTCAAGATTTGTGGCTTGGGTCCTGCTAAACGGAGCTGTAAATAAGAGAAATATGACATTGTTTCATGCAGTAGCGGCTCGTCAATAGTGGGCGCTAGGACGCCGCCCCACCACGCAAACCACTCACCATTTTACAATGAAGACTTAAATTTTTTTAATAAAAATGAAATAAAAAAACACTAATATTTTGAAATATATGTTATGTAATCAAGTCTGATTGGTGACATATTTCTGGCCCCTGGGGGCACAAGAATCTTAGTCCATAGCCTCTCGTTAAAAGGTGGACATGCGCAGTTAGGTCCTCTTTATTACAAGAGATAGGAAGAATCTGGGCGCAGCACTTCAGCGCCCTGTACTGGTGCACCGTATGGATTGTGATTCCGGTACAGATTTATTTACTTATTGTTTTGTGTTGTCCCGGAACAGATCGTGCCATGACACTCACAAGTCACAACCAGACTATGTATGAAATAGTATTTAGCTGTCAGACAGCAGCGCATTTAAAGAGACATATGATTTATTTGTAGCTTTTATGGTTAAAATCTCATAAGAAATTAACACTTCTGCTCACCTGCACACAATCACATTTTTGTCTGCTAATGAAAACAAAGCTAACAAAGCTAAGAAGAGGGGGAAACGGTGAATTTAAGCCTTCTGTGCTTCTTTGTGTGTGGGGCTGCGGGAGCTATGTGGTTTTGTAATCTTGAGGTTGCGGGTTCAAACCCAGGTTGTGTCAGGAAGGGCATCTGGCATAAAACAGTCAAATCTTTCATGAGCTTGCTCGCTGTGGTGACCCCCCGGAAAGAAACTGACCAATTTTTCTTTGTGTGTCTTATTTGGCTTTAATTTTTGTTTTGTTTAGACTTATTTTCTTGCATATTCAAATTAATTTAGCCTTTTTGTTTTCCACACACTTAAGTGTCTGACCAAAATGTTAAATGAGTGTTTTTTTGTTTTTTCCTTCATCTTTCAGCTGCTCCCTTCTTCGGGGGTCACCACAATGGACTAAGTCACACGAAGACTTGGCTATTGTTTATATGTCAGATGTCCTTCCTGGCACAACCACAGACCACCGAGCTACCACAGCCCTCTGTGTGGAGCAGAGAGCTGCCAGCTAGTGCGCCCCGGTAAGCAGATGGTGGGGGTTAAGGGCCTTGCTCAAGGGTTCAGAGTGGGGGAAATGAGGGTGGAGACAGGTGTTCCACTTTTCCCACCCACATTTTGATGTTGTTTTTTTGGGGAGTTGAACCGGCGACCTTCCAATCACAGGCTCACCTTCTCTAACCTCTTCACCACCACTTCCCCATTGGAAAAAAGTTAGTTTTAAAAAGTTGAATGGTAAAAGCTGTAAAAGCACTTTGAATTATTATAAATTCTTATTGTATACATCTTTTGGAATAGTTTTATGGTTGCATGTGTAGTTTCATAGTTTTTAATCTTTAACTTTTTAAATGCCATGGGTTGCTGTACATGAAACTGCTGGACTTGATTTTTTTCTTGACTCTTTTTGAATGAGCAATCCTCAGTGAGGTAAATTTATATGTAAAGCTAATATAAGGTAATACATTTTCTTATTAATAAGGTCTCAGTCCAGATATTTAGAGCACTTTTTGTTGAAATCCATCTTTGAACAGTTATAAATTCAGGGCTGCAGACAAACAAATATTTACTTGACTTATTTTTTACTATAAATTCTGTCTGGTTTATGTTATTTGTTTGCTGGCTTTAATTCACCACCAGTAAATTTTCTATCAGCTGTGGTTGTGTTTGGACTCCTGTTTTACAACTTTATTTATTTTTCATTTCAGACTTTTCTTCTTGATGTATTGTTTAATAAAGTCATATTTGAGTTTTACAATAAAAAATAACCCAGTGTCTATGGTTTATAAAAGATGTAAGTTTTTTTGTTTTTTATTTGCGAAATCAACAACAAACCATTCCAATAATCAACACAACCAAGTAAAAAGGAAATGTTAAATTATAAAAAAAAAACAATACAAACTCAACAAATAAACCTAAAAGCAGATTTTACAGTATTTTAATTAATAATTTCAGTAATAAAAGCTGCCCAGACCAACCAAGAGCTCCAAGCCACGAACCAAATGTAAACAATCCGGCAGAATCATCCGAAATCGATGATTTAATTTAAAAGTTTGGCTTTTTTCCTCCACAATAAACCAAAACACTCTTTTTGCTGTGGCATGGCAGATATAGTTTGCTTTTAATTGAACTCAATCAGGAAACAAATAAAATCTTCAAACATATGACATAAAAAAATATTAGAGACTTATCAAAAGAGATTTCTTTGTTAGAATAAAAAGTTAATTTAACTTGGAAACACCGTCAGTGGAATTATACAGCTCTGTTGAAATATAGAGAAAGTTCATGATTTTTTTTTTTTTTATGAAAGTTTTAATTTCTTCTATGAAATTTTAAAGTCTACAAATAGATTTTTTTTAAAAATACATTTAACTTTGAGAGAAGTTGTTCCATATGTTTTCTCTAGTTGTGTAGAAAAATGCATTGGACTTACCATACCTTCACACACGCCATGCAGAGTCTGTGTCAGTCCAGCCCGTGTAAACAAAAGGAGTGAAGTGAACCCGGTCTCTGAGTGTAACAGAACCCCGGTGCCACAGAAACCCAACTGGAAAAAACAAAGGTTCCACAACAGCGTTAAAAATTCAGCAGTGGAATCACAGTTATCTGCCTCCCTCTGTGTGTGTGTGTGTCAGGGAGACGGCAAAGGAGAAACAGATATCTGAGCAGGGTGTGTGTGTGTGTCTGTGTGTGTGAAGGGTGAGTTGCTTTAGGGAACATTATCACTTCCTGTTGGACCAAAAAGACTCAGTTCATCTTAATGAAACGACTCAGTTTGAAGACTGATCTTAAAATATGAAATGAAACGTGCATTCTTTTTTCCACTCGGTCTGCAAACGGTGACTTTTAAAGTCATTACAAAACATGTAATTTGTTTTAAAGTTTTAAAATTAAATTCTAAGAATGTTAGCCGTTGAAAAAGGCATCACCTTACTTTAAAATGTGGAAATAAATAAAATAAAAAGGTCAAAAAAGATGAAAAAGTATTGTTTAGCAGGTAAATATAAAAAAAACAACAGATTTTCACACAGAGCCATGTCGTTCGCATCACATGTGGTATGTGAGGTGGAATGAAATTGTGCACACAGGGTCCCAGTTGCATCCAATAATAGCAAAAATATAAATTGTAAAAGAAACAGTAAGGATCTAAAATGTAAACTAAAAAATACACTAAACACTTAATAGCGCAAAACAATACGCCGAACAACAGCAGCACGAACATGAGTCTGTGTGAGCAGATGAGGACGAATGAACGCATGAACTAAATCAGCAGCATGAGATCAGCAGCATGGACAATCAGCCGCACATATCAATCAATCAATTTACCAGCAGTTTATACCCTAAAAAGTTTTCTTTAAAAAGTTTATGAATTAGCCCTGCTCTAAAAACACACAGTTTCAAAGGTTCAAAGTTCAAAGTTCAAGGTTCTTTATTGTCATTCACATCACATATGATACATGAGGTGGAACGAAATTGTGTACTCATGGTCCCAGTTACACCCGAAAGTAGCAAAAATATAAAGTATAAAAAAATAAACAGTATACAAGGATCTAAAATATACACTAAACAGTAATAATATAATATAATGTGGTGTATTATACAGCAGCCTGAACATGAGTCTGTTATGAGAAGATGTGCATGAATACAGCAGCTTAAAGTCAAGAAATCAGCAGCACATACAAAGTGACACCAATTAAAGTGGCATTACAGTGATTATCCTGGTTAGATATTCATGAGTCTAACAGCCTCAGGGTAGAAGCTGTTCCTCAGTCTAGTGGTTTTACACTTAATGCTCCTTATATATGCTCCAAATAATTTCCCTTTGGGATTGATGCAGTATTTTTGAATTTGAATTGAATTTGAATTAACCTCCTGCCTGAGGGGAGCGGGGCAAAAAGTGTGTGTGCTGGGTGAGTGGGGTCTTTCATGATGCAGGTGGCCCTCTTCCTGCATCTGGAGGTGTAGATGTAGTTGATGGTGGGGAGGCTGATTCCAACAGACTTCTGTGCAGCCTTCACCACTCTCTGAAGAGCTTTCCTCTCTCCAGCTGTGCAAAAGTAATGTTTTAATGTAAAGTTTTCTGCCTTTTGTACGAGAATTAAACACAGAGCAAAACTGCATAATCGAAAGGTAGATGTTAGAATTTAGATGTCATCTGGGATTTTAATCACAATTTAATTTCTATACATGCAACAAACATATTTTTATAGCAAATGTTTTATATGTTAAACTTTATTTTTTTAATTATTTTTGGCAGAAGCAGGTTTCCGTAGTTTACACATGCCTTGTTATGGAAAATAAGCTTTTAGCGCGCCACATCACGTCCTGTGTTAGCGCGAGTGTCCGGAGTAAAACTCAACACATCCCAGATGTTTCAATCTATCCACCCCCACACGGCTCAGAGGTTCAAGTGTGAGACAGGGACTTTCCATCCACACACTTTAAGTTTGACATACAGAGTTTTAAACAGTACAAAGTACAACACGGGTTTAATGCTGTGTGTGTGTAAGTCCACAAAAACAACTATTTTATACTATAATCTGATTTCACAAATCCAAACAACTTTCTGTTTAACCAGCTGTAGCTTGAAGACTTCTTATGTTAGTCTTTGCA